CTTACGACGTGCAAACTGGAAGGGAACAAGGATAAATTTGTAGGACGAACTAGTTATAGAGACAAGAACTGGATATGCAAGGATTGTACTCAAAGACACATGTAAAGACCCATTAACTCTTGCAAAAAACTGTTTTTAAAATTGTAAAACACAATCATACAAGCTAAGATTCGATTAATTTGTAACTTTATTAACATTACACATGGATAAAGGAATGATGGCTGTTCAGGGCTTTTTTTATCGATTAGGTAATGAGCCAATTATAAAATAATATAAGGAACACGTGACCAATATCGATTTAGTGACATCAACACACCGCCATAACCTCATTATATATGAATTTATTCACAATTTATACCCACTACATGGCCCGCCATAACCTACCTCATTCTATATTCATTTATTCATGCCCAAGCAGTTGCCTCTACAGTGCCCATATAACCGACCTCATTATATATTCATTTATTCACGCCCAAGCGGTTGCTATACTACTACAGCTTCATCCACAGTATCTGCTGTAGGATGCTGTAAGTATTCTAAAATACAGTTAACGAGACATCAGGTGGAAACAGCCACAACCAATCAACACACCTTGGTTCACTTTGTCGGCGAGTGAGCCACCAGAACAGATTTTTATGAGGTACTTGGCTCCTTCCAAGGATGATGCAGTTGCCTAGCTCATTGAGCACAATGGAAAAGAGAGTTAATGTATCTCACTGCCCGTTACACCATGATACTGCATTGTAATCCATAGTATGTATAATTATTACTACAGCAATGACTATAATTACCACAAGAAAAACTGTATTATTGTTTGCACTTTGTTGGCATCTTGTTTGTTTTCAATTCGTATCATGTGCAAGAATTCCACAAATAGTCCACCCAAAAAATGAAATGAAACTTATGTTTCACAGCAAAGAGCTAACTAGGCCTACCATGACCATTACATGCAGGGATCATAAAAATAATACAATCATTGTTCCGGTGAACTGTAAGTATTCCTAGTTGGGTGACTGTCAATTTGCTAAAAAACAAAATTTCGACTAATTCATTACTACAATCACCTTCTCCTTGTCTTTAGCCCATGTAAATCTGCACCTTTCAGAAGAGATCAGCTTAAGATCTTGCTTAAATTTCATTCCCTTTGACTTTCTCTGCGGGCAAAGGATTTTTCAATGTGCTTGTTGTTGCTACTTTGCTGCACATATTGCTTCACAGCTCTTTCAAATTGAAAACACCAGAAATTACCTGGTGCTGAGAATCTCGCAATGTCTTCAGGTAAGTGTAGATTGATAACATGCATTAGCTCCATACCTCTCTTCGCAAGAAATACAATACCTCCAAGCAAGGCATCTAAAGTTCTCAATCATATCTTCAGTCCAGCCATATCTTCCTGAATTGAAGACAAACTCTACCATTCTTGGAACAGGTGCCCACAGTTTCAATTCGCCCTCAGGACGTAACCCATTTAAGACAAACTCAGATGCTGGAAAAGCCAATTTCTGGTATTCCTCCGCTTCAAGAGAAAATCAAGAACAGCTTACTCTTAAGATATTATCAAGAGAATGACAATGATGACTTACTCAGAGTGCACCCCTAGTATTTTTTAATTACACAAATAGTGCCATAACTAGTTTAACTTATATCTTGTATCTTGTGATATTATATATGGCTGAATTTATATTCTAGAAATAAATATTATTCCATCGTTTATTACGTTCACAGTTTAATAATGTGTCATAAATGTGAAAGTTAATCCTGAAAACATGGTACATGCGGCAAAACAGGTATTGACACCTACTTGTACAACAATATTACACAGCAATTGACCTCTCAAAAATTTGTCTTCAAAATTGTAAGTATTACCCTCTATTGCCATACTAGCATAATAGAAAGCTAATAAAACAATGAACTTACATGTCTAGTAACCTATTTAATCAGTATCCAGAGGCAAGAAAGATGCACGATAATCTGTAAAACAAAAGTTATTGTGATTTACACTGAAGCGAATTGGTTCTCTTAGGGGTAAACACAAAACCTGGAGAAAAGAAAATATTAACTGTGGATGTAACATCAGGCAATTGAACAATTACTGGCCTTTGTGACTTTGTGCTCCAGTATGTATTTAAAGTACCTATCTGTAAGGTAGTGAAAAAACAACAGCACCAGCAGTTGAAATATCACCACAAAAAGGTTGTGCTTACATTTATTCAGTAAAAATAAGTTAACAATCAAGGGATTAAGACATTACAAGTATTTGACAAGAGCATGTCTGTGCCACAGTAACTGCATGCACTTTACCAAATATAGTCATATCTCCCATTACCTGTCGAGTCAACACCCTTGTCCACTGGTTTGTTCAAAAATACAGACTTTTGTTGACCACTGTTTGATCCTAAGTGTAAATGTTTATTTATAGTTATATGTACCTCTGGTCCATGGCATTTTTGCCAAGTTGGCATCAAGGTCCTTTTTGTTCAAAGAGCCTTTAGAAATCCATCGCTCAATGTTATTCTTGACCACATTGAGAGGTAAAAGGTGCATAGCATCAAAGACTGAGTCCCTGAGAACATCAAACCCATAAAGGAGATAAAGCCTTACTTATCCTTTGGAAATTGGTAGGTCTTTCTTCTTCTTCATATTGCTTCATTACCGGCAATTCTTCCCTGAGCAACCTCTTTTGATAAGGAAATCTGTATTGTTTTCTGAAGTTTGGGTACTAGTAGTGATTGTGTTTGCTCAACCATGTACCTACATGGAGTAACCAAGAAATAATGCGTCGTTACTAGTTAACACAGATAAAGTGTATAATGCTGCATGTTTTTAATACTCTTTAGAACATTGAGAGAATACACTTCCAGCTAGTACATACATGTAGACTGAAAAGAATAGGACCATAAAATTGTGCTGTCTTCACCTTTCACAACCTACCACAAAAATGACATTTCCGACATCCTTTCCTGGCTCCAGCACCCTTAGTCTTGCAAACCTTACACTGTGCAGGATGGTCCCCTGTCCAAAGCAGTATAATGTGTCGAATTGTGATGTTAGCAGGTGGAAAGTTTGGAAGTGATCCTGCATAATTCACTTGGTATCCTAAAGACAAGATGTAAAGCCAGTCTTCCTTGGAAGCGTTTGGTTCAGGTTAGCAGAAATGAAGATCCCACTGCCATCAGTTCTTGGCCCACATTCCTGATGTCACTGATCCCATCCTGTGTGTGTTGAGTCTCAATAAGTCCCGTCAAATACCTTTTTTCAGCATTTTGACTAAGTATTTGCAGAAGACTAAAATAATATTATTGTAAAGCTCTACAAAGGCAAGTTTCAATGACATAGTATCAAAAATATTTCCCCATTAAAAATGTATTTTCTTAACTCATTCATACAGTAACAAGTAGTAAATATTTGCACCTAAATTTTAAATTTTTACCTTCGATAAATCCATTGTCAATATCACTGACAAGTGGCTCAAGAAAAGGATCTATAGAATTTGGCCGTTTATCAGGCAGATCATAAGATGGCACAAATCCAACTGTGCAAACTTCACCTGTCTGTAAGCGTTCTTCCTTTGTCATTGTTGCCACTGACACATCTATTGCACCTTTTGTACATGGCATACAAATTATTGTCAGTACCGGGTAGTTGATCAAATCTCACCTGTTGGCTCATGTCTATATGCAGGATCTTAGGTGATCAGAAGATACATGTATTTACTTCAATTGATGAACATTTTATGCTAAATAAATCGTGCATTCATCTGTAAGCATCACCACCACAATACTTTTCATTCATGGAGTATCATGAACCATGAGTGCCCGATAAGATTTGAATAGTTTCAGTTAAGAATTCACCTTACCAGTAATGCGTGATTTCCTTCCAAATGGCTGAAAGCCATCCCAGTGACCTTAAGATTACTTAAGTTGAAACAATAAAAATAATTACAATAGTGATTGGTCATTTTAAAGTTGAACAACACAAAGAAGCAAAAAGCATCATTAAACATATTGAAAAAAGTATTGAAGAAAATGTAACTGAGTCATATACATTTACATTGCAATGGAAAGGTATTTGACAACAATTTTTTTTGTGTTATTGACGAGAAAGGATGTTGAACAAACATATATAACAAGATCCTTGTTTTGTTGCAGTTGAAGAAGGATAACGTATTTTTAAAAAATGCCTATTTCATTCAAATAATGTACATCACGCTTTTTAAAAATTATCTTACCTATATAGGCAATGTTCCGTGGGTCACCATTAGCATACTCAGGATGATGAACAAATCTGGTACACCAGCAGTCACAGTACAACTCTTTCATTCCATCAGGCTGATTAGGGGCCTGTATTACGTCCTCTGCACTAAAAACATTTTTACATCCATCTTTGATACATCTTGCAGGCAAACACCACCTTTTCGTCAAGATTCCAAAACCAAGCCAGTTCTGCATATCTGGCTCCATCCCAGACCTCCTTCTTAATCTCGCAGCCATTATCATGTCCATTTATCCAGTGTTCCTTTTCCAACATTAATTAGGTGTACATTTTGCAACTCAATCTCTATTCTTTCTCCCCCTTTTTTTGAAACAGGGTTAGTATGACAGTGGTCCATGTAAAATTAATGTATAGAATGATGCAGAAATCTTTCCAGACTTTATAATAAAGGTGATTTTTCACAAAAATGCAGTTCCAATCAAATAGGCAAAACAAAAAATTTTACATGCTACTATGCACTACATTGTAAATTCTAGTATCACTCCATACACGACTTTCATAATGGCGGACCGCTTGGGCGGAATGGTAACTACTAACATCAGAGCGAGGCTAGTTAGGCCACGTTCAATAATGAAAAACGTAAACACATGCAAATGCGTTCCAAATCTCTCTTGTATGTAGCCTGTTTTTTGCTGTATCGTCGAACGTGATAATGTGAAAACGTAACCGAGTGTTTTTGTTTATCTGAAATCGAAATTACTCAGATAATTACCACGGGCTTAAAAAAAATGCCCACGCACTGCTGTGTTCCCGAGTGCACCAAGAAAGGTTGTCGCGAGGAGGATGGCAGGAAAGTCTCGTTCTTCAAGTTTCCTGATCATGTCGGTCGCCGTAAACAGTGGCTTCACGCCATCAGAAGAGAGGAAGGAAAACATTTTCGGATCACGAAGGCAACCAAGGTCTGTTCGAGACATTTTAGGCCGGAATGTGATTTTGTAAAGACCCTCGCTGGCAGAACGGAGCTGCGAGAGAATGCTGTTCCTTCGAAGTTTGCGTGGACTCGCAGCTCTCCCCGGAAACGTAAAGTGCCAGCAGTACGCGAAAGCATCGATGAAACAAGCCGAAATCTTTTTGAAGAAACCGGAACGAATGACGAGCCAGAAAACTCAGAAAACTGCGTAGATGAAGGGGAAAATCGCATAGAAGAAAGGGAAACTGTGGAAAGCATCCTGTCTGAAAACTTGAAAATGGACGCGGAGACTCAAACCACAGAACCAAAGGAAGGCACTGAGACCTCGCTGATACAACAAATAGTGGACCTTGAATCCAATCTTGAAAGAGCTAAGCGACGTATTGAATCTTTGCAAAACCAAGTTTTCACTATTGAAAGATTTCAAAGCAGTGATGCGTCAATCCATTTTTATACTGGATTTCCAAACTGGAAGGTATTTATGTCTGTTTTTAGATACCTGAATCCTGGTGATATGGGTGAAAACATCACATACTGGTTGTCTTCAAGGAAAAATGTATCTGCCAGCGTTTATGAGGAGGTGGCAGCTAATGGAAGCAAGAAAGGCAGAAGTAGGTCATTGAGGCCTATTGACGAATATTTCCTTGTGATGTGTAGACTCAGACAAGGCTTTCCTGAGGAGCACTTAAGTCATCTGTTTGACATATCCACTTCAACAGTTAGTCGGATTTTTATCAGCTGGATAAATTTCATGTATTTGAGGCTAGGCCAACTAAACATTTGGCCAACAAGGCAAGTAATTAATGAGACAATGCCTGAAGATTTCAAGCAAAAATATAGTTCTACAAGAGTTATTATCGACTGTACAGAGGTGAGGTGTCAAATGCCCAGTAGTTTGCATTTAAATGGGGAGCTGTTTAGCAATTATAAACACCACACAACCCTGAAGGGATTAATTGGCATTTCTCCTGGCGGTGCAATAACCTTCATCAGCCAGCTGTATACTGGCAGCATCTCTGACAGAGAGATTGTTGTCAGAAGTGGATTGTTGGATTTGCCATTGCAAGATGGAGACTCAGTCATGGCAGACAAAGGATTTACAATCGAGGACTTGTTACCTTTAGGAGTTTCCTTGAACATTCCTCCCTTTCTTGGCAGCTCAAATCAAATGCCAGCACAAGATGTTGTTCGCACTCAGGAAATTGCAAGCCTGCGAATTCATGTTGAGCGTGCCATAAACAATATCAAGAATTTTCACATTTGGGATGGAGTTGTGCCCCTCCATCAGTTTGGGGTTGTCAATCAACTGTGGGCAGTCTGTGCAATCTTATGTAATGCTCAACCAAACATTATTTCTATTTGAATAAACTGGGACAAGAACTATTCTTTGAATATCACTATAACATTAGCTTTAAGTGGTCCAAAATTATGTACATGTGTAGACAACCGAATACCCAGGGGGTGATAATATTTTGTTATTGTTGTTGTTCAGTTTGTAAAGTGGCTATTACTCCTACCGGTCTCCACTCACATAAGAAAAAAGATGTGATCCAATTTAAAATTGTGTGACATTTTATTCCTGTGTATATCAGCTCAAAATCAAACCAGACAGTTTCCCTGCTATTGGCAGTCAATATAAATATTTCCTCAGTTTTTTTTTATTCAAAAGAAATAACATTGTGGTGCCATGCATGCTTCTTATTACATTTTTCATTAAAAAATATCAAATAACATGTGACTTACATCTACAGACAGTGTAAAAGTTATTTTTGTTGAAAAAATTTGTGTCCTATGATCAACACTACAATTCCCTGTACTGCACAAATATGTACACCATTAAGTAAGGGAACTGTCTTTAAATCTAAAATAGTCTCTCATAAAAAGGAACAAGCACATGGACAAAAGTAAGAATAACTTGTGTATTGGCACAAGGGTGTGGAGAATCAATCTCCTCCCAGTTACAGTGCAGCTACTCCAACTAAGACCACCCAAGCAAATTCTGCCAGTGGAAATACTCGAATGAAATCCTGCAGTGCCAACAACAGATTTCCCACAAATAATAATTTTATGCAAGTTGTGTGCTTCAAAAGTAATAAATTGGAACCATTTGTATTGCTTTCGCACTCTAATACTATTGGACAATTTGGAAAGCTTTTTCTTGGGTGGCCTTGTTTGGAGTAGTGATACTGTAACAAGACATAAGTAAATTAATTACTGAATTGCCACCAAAAAAGTTGAAAAGCCTACAATATATACAATCAAAGGGCATTGAATAGCTAATTATCTACTGCATTTTTCTGATAGTCCTCAGCAGCAAACTTAATGAAGTGTAAAAAATAGTAAGTTAAAAGTTCAGTTTGTAAGTTTCTCCAGTAGTCAGGATCAAAGGCTATCCTCTCCACGTACAGTCCCTTGCTGGTATAAACAATGAAATCACACCACTTGCTTCCAGTTATCCCCATTTGTCCTTGCACTTGTGCATAGTATGCGTGATCCCTTTTCAGTCTGCACTCTTTGTCATTTATTTTCTCCATAAAAAAATTGGGATCAGAGCATGCATCCAAGGGTGTTTCATGGAACTTGCTGTAGGGACACTTTACCTCTCCCAAACCAAAGCAATGTACACATCCTTTATCCACAATTTTTGCATCAGGCGAGGCACCTAGTACTGGACAACTTTTTGATACGACAAATCCACTCCTTAAAACAGCTACTGGTGTTTTCTGGTTGAACATGAATTTCTGATACTCTTGAAGAGCGATGGGTTCATACTTAATGCCATGGGCAACATATTTCGAGGAAAATGGCTTTGGGAGCATGATGGACTGTGCATAGGTATCATGATTCCTTTTCCTCTTGGTAATCGCTTGGAAGTTAGAGGCAGTAAATCGATAGGTGCGTTCTTGCTTCCACATTTCAGATGCTGATTGATCCCTTGTTTTGCTTTCGATTTCATGGATTTTGTCTTCATCCACATTTAGAGTAGACAGCAAGTTCTTCTCAGAATCTGAGAGCTCCCGAGGTGTGGTCATGTCCTCCTCATTTGTCATAGGAAAGCGAGGATAATGAGTGAGGTCCAGGGCAACATCATTTACTCTCTGAACTGAGCCTAGATTCGCTTGAGCAGAGAAATTCGATTCTGTGAAAGAAGTTTGATAACTCAAGAACGACCCAACAGGACTTTTGCCAAATTTGGTATCACTCAGTTCAAAAGCTAGGTTTTTTTCTTTGTTCATATGAGCAAAACCCAAGTCTGGATCAATTCCTGAAAGTTCAGATTTAAAAGCCTTCTCTCTTTCCAGATCATGTTGTGGTTGTCTTCTGGCTTCATACAATAAGCATTTCACACCACCGCCACAACGTGAGGTGCTTGGTTCATCCAGTTTTGCCTTTTTTACCACAACCTCCATGACAGGTTACTATATTACAGCTACTATATTTTCGCCTCCACCTTTCTTGTTCCAGGATTGAAGCTGGGAAGTACATGCTACTTGTGGATTCTCGTCTGCGTCTTTTTGTAAGTCCCTTGTAGTTTTAGCTTCATATAGACTGAATTTGCAAAGTTTCAGCATTAGCGCCGATGTGTGATTACAAAATCCCACTTTTCCAGCCACACAGGTACAAGTGGAATTGAGAACGTCACCCTTAACAATACACAAGGCCAATTTTAGCTGATGCGGCGGGTCGTTTTTCCTGTAACTGTGGCAGCATTTTGCTTTGAAATAAAAGCAGTGTTCATCACAGGTTGCCATGATTTCGTGAAGATATTCATCTTCAAGAAACATCTTTGCTTTGCGAAGTGTTGTTGGCACAGAATGGTGATGAATATTTCCAATGTTCTTACCGGATCTTGCAATATGTTCGCTCATTTCTGCTCAGGTAAACATCGGCATTTTTTCCAGCGAATTACCCCATCCACTTTCTGGGTAATTCACAACATCGACCTTGGCGACCAGATCTGTATTCAATGAATCTGCAATCTGCTGTTTTCTCTTGGTATATAATCCGGTCGGCTCAGGATCGACGATAGTTTTGTCTCTTCCAGAGGTAATATACTCTTCAACTCTGAAAATAGAGTTACATGTCAAGCGAAGAAATTGAAAAAATAAATTTTGTCAAGAAAAGAATAGAAGTAAAAAAACCGATTGCATCGTAAACAAACCGACTCCTTACCTTTTCACAAGCTCCGCTTTCATCTTAAGTCCCTTTGCCCGATCACCTCTACACCGTAACCAGAACTTCAACTCATCATTTTTAAGTTCAGATGGTTTTCGTCCATGCAAAGAAGCACCAGGGATATCCTCTTCGGTAAGAACTGCGATGCGTGTTGTCGAAGCGGTTGCCATGTTGATGACCTTTCTGGCCTAACTAGCCTCGCTGTGATGTTAGTAGTTACCATTCCGCCCGAGCGGTCCGCCATTATGAAAGTCGTGTATTTCGTATCCTTGGACAAATAAATCACTCTTACACCATTGTACTCAATATTTCCTACTGGTGACACAAAATTCAGCTATGAAAGTATTATTCTTTTTTAACCTTGGGTCCAACATTTTCTGCTTTTTATTAGTGACCTCCCAAACTGGTCTAGCAAACTACCTTGTCAGTTCTTGCTGATGAATGAGATACAAATATTGTTGCACAAGTGATGATTTGCAACACCTTGAGTTTTTCATGTGGAATTTAAGTTATTCTTCAAGTACTGCATCACCAACAGACTATCAATACAAAGGCTTAACAAGACAAACTATTAAATGTTTTTTAGATAACCTGTAACTATTAAGATTAATGTCTTAATAAGAGCAGTAGACCCTAACAAATTATTACATTTACAAAGCAAAAATAATTATTGAATTTGGTTGTGGTCTTTTTCAGATCTGAGCTTGATGTCAGCTACCGCCATTCTGCTAGTTTGGCTAGCAAAAAGTGCCAGCCATGAGATACGATTAGAGAAGCTGAAATAAGAAGCCAAGAAGATGGGCTTAACTTTGTTAAGAAACAAAGACAAAAACACCTACATACGAGCAGTGGCATCATCTCTTGTGCAAAAGAAGAAGGTTACAATTGCAGAAAACGTAGCTCTTGACAGAATTTCTCAGGATGATGTCTCAGTCACTGACGATCAGTAGCTAGCCGATTTTCATGGCCAGAATTTATTCATATTTTATTGCATATTCTTCCTTCCCACATGTGCATGACATTATAAGCTAAAATGTCTTGAATAGGTGAGACACGCATGTTGATGTGTAAAGGTCAGTGGTTTATTATGATTAAATGTTTGATTGTTGAAGGAACACTTGGACTGGATTCTTGATTTTCTTCACTTTCAATATTTTGACCAAGCAGGTTCCATCCTTGACTGGGTATGACATTTTTTGTGTGTGGGTTATCTCATAAATCCCCTTTTTATATCACTTTCCAGACATGGAGATCTCATATCTCCCAGACTGGTTATATTGTTTTCCGAACATGGAGATCTCAAAAATTCGATCCAGGTTATGTTATTTTCCAAACATGGCGAACATATAAAATCAAGACTGGTTATGTCTTTTTCCAAACATGGCGCTCGAATTAAACCCAGACTGGTTTTGTCATTTTCCAGACAGGGAGATCTCTGGAAACCAAAACTGGAAATGTCATTTTCCAAACATGGAGACAATATTAATAGTTGAGTGGTTTATTTATTTGCCAAATTTGGAAAATTGAAATATCCTGTTCTGGATAAATTAATCTGCACCATTGGATGTTATGTTGATCCTATCTTGGATATTGTGATTTTCGTGTTCTTCCAGTCCTGGATACAGATGTGTGCCAGGTTTGGAATTTGTCTTAACCCACTCTGGATATTTCTTAATGAACCAAACTTGGGGAAATTGCACTTTTTCGAAATTTGGATTTTACTTGAAACCAGGAAATTTCCGGGTGAAAACCAAGTAAAATCAATGTTGGATATTTGATCTGTTTTCCACTGCTTTCAAATACTTGTTAATCACAAAGGACAAAATTCGTGTTTCTGATAGAAAAAAAAAACGAATATATGTTGAGGCCTCAAATGTGATAAATAACCCTAAATATAATAATCACAGTGTCCAGTTTGTCCTTGGTATTACAGGTTTTCCAGGGGAAATTGAAAACAAGGCTTAGGCATAAAATTTTTGCGGTACACAAAATGTAGTATTACTTGGGCAACGTGAATATGGTGGATTAAAAGAAAAGCAGCAGACAACAAATTCTTAAATGATCAAGACGGCATTGGTTAAACTTCTCTGAAACTGGATCAGAGTTCTAAACAAACCCAACCGTGCCTGGCCTTGTTAAATCCCAGCCTGGTATTAGGAAAAGACAGGAAACTAACCACTCAAAAACAAGTGAGAAACACTCAACTTCGTCTCGTGCAAGTCAGACACCAGGTAGATTGGTTGAATCTTGGAAAGTGTGGAAGGATGAAACTTCAGATCACGAATTTGTTTATCAACATGTATTGTCTGTTACGACTGTTTTCAATCGGTTCATTTGTGTTTACTGTGTTTACAGTAAAAATAAGCAATAGATAATGATGATGATAATGATGAGATTAAAAAATTTAGTGTCCACGGCTACAAAACTACAACGTTTCAAGGATGCAATGCTTCCTTACCTTAGTTGCTGCCATCTTACTTGGCATTTCTGCCGAGTGAGTGATAAGAGAAAACTCGAACGTATTCAGGAGAGGGGTCTGCGCGCAGTCTTTAGGGATGGTCAATCCCCATATGAAAAGCTCCTGAGCAAGGATAAATTAATTACACTGTATGAAAGGAGGCTTCAAGATATAGCATGTTTGATGAACAAGATGAAGCATGGCATGTGCCCTCAGAGGGTCAGGGATTTGTCCTCAGTGAATAGCACTAGCTACAACTTTAGCGGGGCAGATTTTCACATACCCAGATTTTATTCGGTAACATGGAAAATGTTCATTGAGATATCTACGACCAAAATTGTGGAATAGCCTGCCTGGCAATCTTAGCAGTTTACCATCACTACAATCATTTAAACAACAGATTTGTCTGGTCAATCTTTCGCTTAAGTTAAAGTCTGATTGTGAGCACTGCGTATTATGTTGCACCTGACACACACACTGACCTAACTGCTTTACTAATTATTTATTATGTTATGAGTACTTTTTTTTTCTTTTATTGAACATTCTAGTTAATGTGAAATAATATTATCTTTTTGTAACTAACCATATCATTTTATTGTAAATTGCTGTATTATTTTATAGTACGTTCATCTTGGCTAGTTTTTTTTTAGGATTGAGAGTTGTTAATTTAAAATTAGTCTTATTTCAGTGTCCCCAATTAGTAGAGGGTTTTTACCCTCGCCTAAGTACCATATTCTGACACTTTGATAAAGTCATGATGATGATGATGATGATGATGATGATGATGATGATGATGTGGATGAGTTAAGGGCTAATGAACCAACTGAAAACATTCATAGCAGACAATTCATAATCAAAAGGAACCCCTTCTTGTACTGTTAAGTGACCAAGGTTCTGAACTTAAAAGAGCTCTGAATGGGCGTTTTCATAAATTCTGAGCAAAATTGGTACACAGCCACCCAAACCATCCCTAGTCTCAAGGAATATGGAAGTCATTGACCTCTTTGTTCCTGCTCTATGTTCCAAGATAGAGTAGGACTCTTTACAGAAGGGGAACAAAGATACTTATTGGCCAAAAGCACTGGTTGAATACCAGAGGATTTTAAACGAGGAACCAAAGAGAAGTACTTAAGTACAAATCCCCACTTGAAGTGTATTTATCACGCAAGCCAAGTTACCACACTAGCCAAGCTTTCATACATTTGGGACCTTTATCACATTTGCAGTCAAAAGATGTTACACTTAGGACCTTTATTACATTTGAGACCTCAACAATGCGAGCCAGAGCCCATATTGTGTGGTGTTGTCAGCCTTGCCATGCAGATGCTGATTCAATAGCAGAGAGCACCAGAATTGTAAACAGACATCCTTGAGTCTGAAAAATGCCGTATTTCTGCTACAATTAGGGTAAATCACGTTTAGATAAAATATCAGTTTTGTAATCTATGCATTACATCGTAAACTCTCCTTATACTTGTTTGCAATGGCCTTTCAATAACACCTCAAATTCCTGCTGTGACCCAGTCTACAAAGCTTGTTTATATTATGTCAACTGTAATAAGCCTCCCCCAGGAAAACAAAGGTGAACTCAGAAGTATTATCTGTCTTTTACAAACTGATTCCATTAAATTCGCTTGTAATATTAATACATGGCACTAACTGTAAGTGTCACAAGTCTTCAGTGATTTAAGAATGTTTTCTTTTATCCTTCTTCTATTAAACGCAGTCACGTTTTACGAGGATGAGCTATTTTGAATGCTTCAGTGCCACAGTATCGGCAATCTACTGTTTTAATCCTAAATTAAGGATATGTTTTCTGCGAAAGTGGGTATTGCTGTCTGCTGTACATTAATGGAAATGAGAACTGCAGCACATAGCTGATTCAATCTGATAAATTCACTTTCTTTGTCTTTCCTTCAGACATCTGGTGCACGTGAAAGTGTCGGACTTTGCCCCTTTCGTGGTTCGTACATGAGGGAATTCGAGTTATCACACAGTAATCCAGTAAACAGAATTATAAAGATATCTCATGCACACAATTTGCACGTGATGTCGGAGTTTGGCCCTTTCGTACTTTCATACATGAAAAAACGCAAATTGTTTACTAGAAAATTTTCTCAAACGATTTTAAGAAATCACCTTGGCTTTACAACATCTGCAATTACATTAGCTCCATGCAACGTCAAGGTTGATAGCCTAAAATGTATTAACTTCCAAGAAAATTAATAATTGAAACTGCCAAAATATATTTCTACAAGGTTATCACAGGACAGGTCATGTACACTGTGAAGCTGAATACGACTTAATGATGAGATAATAAAGAATTAACCAAGGCATTTGAGGTTTATTCAGTCTCTTTTCGCAGAGTAAACAGCGGTGAGCCTCACAGACTTTCTCCAGTACATGTAGTGCCAAAAATGTTTTCAATTTTTCAATCGCGTGCTTTGTAACTTGATTGTTTTAAATAATTTTTGTTCCAGTCTGAAAAATTTATTTTAGTGATTACGTCGCACCTGATTGAGGCCATTTGAATGCCTGGATATTTTCTCATTGGCCTACCTACTATTTCTATCCAAAATTCTAAAGGCTTTCAAGCCTGGAGAAATTAAGTTCTGCAAGGACTGATTTAAAGGTTACTGGGGGGTTTTTGCAGGCTCTGCTCAGGCTTCGTTCTTAAGGTTGTTTTAAGGCCTGACCTGGCTCTTAACTGTAAGATCTTATATTTTCATAAGGGATGATTATTTACTCAGAAAGTCGTACAAAATTAATGTGCTCAGGGATGAGCGATAATGCGTGTGTTGCCACAGATGTCAAGCACCTACCAATGAAAGCCGATGGAGGGATAAGGGGCATGGGGTGGAGATTTGATTATCTTTGTTGGCCCTGGGGTGGGGCATGTGAATGATCTCGTCCTCCTGGTTGAGGAGACTGACATGGTCCATACAGCTTTAGACAAACAAAATTCAAGGACTTCTCAAGGCAAATTACAATTTTTCAAGGACTATCATTCTCTGATACCCTTTTGAACACCTATTGGCCGCAACACTCAATGGAGTCATTAACAATTTTACTTTTCCGGCAAGGCTGATCACAATATTTTGTACTCATTTCCATAACACTTTGTAAAACGGCAAAAGCCATGGGTTGACTTGCAGTTACATCTGAGGTAAAAAAAACGCATTTGAAATAGAGAAACACAAGTAGAATATTGTTCCTGCATGAAAATGTTACTAAAATGCTTCTGCGGTCTTTCAGAGCTTTTAACTTTCTATTCCATTTCTCCTTACATTGCGGAAATTAAAATGTGTTTAAAGAAATTAATATCAACGGATTGCCACCCCCTGAAAGATATCATTCCTATCCAGAAGACTTGCGTACATAATCTTAGGACAAAAAGCTGTGCACGCCCGAAAATTAATACACAGCGTTTTATGAACTCCTTTGTAAACAGGTTGATTTTTAAGCTCCATTTATTGTAATGATGTACTTTTTTGTAATATATATATATATATAAGTTCTACCCAAAAAACGAATATATATATATGTAGGAAGTCTGTGTTTCGATTTTTCCGTAGTAGAGTGCTCGATACCTTAAAGTAGAGCATGATATAAATATACCTTCATCCTTTTTTTGATGTGAAAGTAGGGCTGTTCGGACAAAGCACTAGAGAGTGAGAAGTCCCCTAAAATTACTATTCTTATAAGTATTGGTAGCTGATATATGAAACTCTAATCATTGTTGGGGAACATTTAAATTTAAATGTTTAATTGTTACATAGCAACACTTTGTTTCTGTGGCGGCAAGAAGATATAAGTTCGTTACGTTTGTTAAGTGACAATAGATTGGGACGACAGATAATTAAAAATTTCTCCTTGAGGCAAAGGTTACACCTTTTACTTGAACTGTTATAGAAAGTTTCCTGCTTTCACAATTACAACACCTTGACGTCAACTTAGGGCTCTACAGAGACAACGGTCTAGCCATTTCTAATGCCGCACTGAAACACAGAAAAGATCAAGAAGGAAATATGCCGTGTCTTTAACCAAAATGGACTACGCATCACAATTGAAGCCAATAAACAGATCATTAACTTCCTAGACGTCACCTTTAACCTTAACAACAGCACCTACCGGCCCTTCACAAAGCCTAACACCACGCTACAGTACGTCCATCGCGAGAGCAACCACCCACCGATCACCACAAAGAACATACCCGCCGGCATCAACAGACGGCTATCATCCCTTTCATCGGACAAGGCATCATTCGACCAAGCCACCCCCCCCCGTACCAAAAAGCACTCGACGAAAGCGGATACCACTACACTCTACACTACGAACCGACTACAACTGCTAAACGGAGAAACAGACAACGCAACAACATCCTCTGGTACAACCCCCCATTCAGGAAAAACGTCAACACCAACATCGGTCACAGATTCCTCACCCTAGTAGACAAACACTTCCCTAAAGAGAACAAACTCAGAAAAATCTTCAACCGCAATACCATCAAGATCAGTAACAGTTGCAAGAATAGCACTAACCAAATTATCGACAACCACAATAAGCGTATCCTGAATGCATCCAAACACACAGATAAATCCACAGATAACTCTGTTGACAACAAATCATGTAACTGCCGACAAAAAAACTCATGCCCTCTTAACGGAAACTGCCTTCAATCATCAGTTATCTACCAAGCAACCGTCAAACGTAACAACAATAACACTTCTGAAACATACATCGGACTCACAGAAAACGCCTTCAAAACCTAGGTACAGAAACCACACTGCATCATTCCGTCACACAAAACTCAGGAACTCTACGGAACTAAGTAAACATGTCTGGTCCCTGAAAGACAACAACATTGACTACTCTATTTCATGGCGTATCAATTCATCTAGCTCATCCTATAACAGTTCAAGTAAAAGGTGTAACCTTTGCCTCAAGGAGAAATTTTTAATTATCTGTCGTCCCAATCTATCATCACTTAACAAACGTAATGAACTTGTATCTTCATGCCGCCACAGAAACAAAGCATTGCTATGTAACAATTAAACATTTAAATTTAAATTTTCCCCAACAATGTAATCTCAAAGTATATAGTCGATGGTTATGAATATTCTTATCGTTAAAATCCCCTGAAGAGTGAGAGATCACGAAACAGGCTTGTCGGGATGAAAGTGTAGTTTTTTTCCTACTTCCAATATTTATATATATATGTACATATTTTTATCATAGTTTTTTATCTTCTGTATTATTGTTGCTGCGGAGCGACCGAAGGGAGCGAGCAGCAACATAATCAGGATTTAAAGGAAATATATAAGGGGCGACGAATTCTCGAATTCATCACTTTTTACCACAATGCATTGCATTTAACCACACTTTCTACCACAATGCATTGCATTTAACCAGAGTGCATTGCGCCACGAACAACTCAAATAAAAACACAGGGAAGTTCGGTGGGTGAGAGAGTGCATCGTTCGCTGCTCAGACTTAGAGTTTTCTTTGTGGCAAATTTTCTACAGCACGGTTAGAGGTCTTACCAAATTTTAAGACACGCAGGAGTCTTTTAGATGAGTACGATGGTTAACTTGGGGATTGGATTTCAATTCAAGAGCCTTTGACTCGTCTAGGTGTTAAACCTGACGAGAAGATGAGCATTTGCTCTTCGACTCCTCAACACGGGGGATATACAAATTCCAGCTTGCTAGAAGGCGATGTGAAAGTGAGAAAATGTCATGCAGTGCTATTCTTAAGAAACTGTATGAGCCGAAAATGGATGTGATTTTGACCATTTGCTTCAAAATAACAGCGGAAATCAAGATACCAAAACATATGTTTTGTGTCCTACTTTGCAGACGAGGACGTGTATCGGCGTTTTGAAAAGCATAATTATGTTCTTTCATTCATTCATTGCCATGGAATATGCGTTTACATTGCTTTTTCACTGTTAACAGCTCGGTTAATGCGGCTGGCGATCATTTTGCCGGCGGGAGTTTCATGGAAAAGGAATAAAATGAAAGACTTTTCCCAAGAATTACGTACTCCGCCTCTGTGGTGTAGTGGTTAGGTGTAGTCGCGTCGAGCGGAAGGTGCAGGGTTCGAGTCTTACCGAAATCTTTAATCCTTCTTTCTTTTTTTTTTTCCTTTTTTTGTGTTGTTGTTTTCTATAAATATATAGCTAAATAACTGTTACTTAATAAAGTGCAACAAACAGCAAGAAAAGTATTGTGTTTCCAGAGAAAATATTGTGCACTGTATATTAAATATATGGATAAACAATCGGAATTTCTATTATTTCCTACAATTTACTGTGGGAAAACCAGAGTTATAACCACTTGATCATTTTCTAAACAACGTTCCCCCGAGTTTTTTCTATAGACTGACGTTAATTATTCTAGTACTTTCCAACATGTAAATAGGACATTCAATGTCATTTTCGATCCTTTTAAGTCTCACTGCCTAACTAATGCCAGTATCAAAAGAATGTGCCACAGCATTACTATCTTTTAGATACCCTAGTAATATAAGATATGTAGTTTTATCTTTTGATGAAATAAAGACTCATTATTGTTATTTTGGCTGCCTTTGTAAGTACAATGACTTACTGACAAGAGTCCGTTCCCCAATTTCTTCCGCCTTTTCTTTTTCTTTGCTCTTCATCCATCTTATTCTTGTCCTTTTGGTCCTGCAAATACTTCTCCAATTTGTGTCGAGATTGAGTTGCTGCAGCAAGGTGTTTCTTTGTAATTGGCAGATTGAAAACTCCACCCAGTGCCCTTAGATGATCACAAATGATGTGCTCAGCTACCAGAGGGGGCTCATGCAAGATTTCCACCTCAACTTCTTTGTTGACTGAGAACCCCCTCTCTACTGACGCCTGGCCATGTGAAAGCACCAACAAAATTTTCACTACATCTACTAAAGCCGCATAGTTCTCACCGGTCAAAATGGTGGTAAAAAACTCATCAACTCTGAACATTTAGGTTGAAAGATGAAAACTCGCACACACTGATTGGAGCCTTCTCCATAAAGTTTGGTTAAAATTATTGATAGTGCTTGTGGTGTTCTCTTTTCTCTAGCTTGAGTGTTCATAGCTTCCCTCTCCCAGCAATTCAAGGGACAAAAAAGAAACTTTTGACGACTATTCCACCCTTTTGTTTTTGTTGTAGCCTATGAAAGTAGAATCAAGCGCAAAGGAAAGCACCGCCTCTAGTGCCACTAATCAGCACCAAAATGGACATGAGGAGGTTCAGGTGGATATGGAGGGTGAAAGGAAAGATGATGATGATGAGGAGATGGTTGTGTCAGAAGTGCTTGTTACTGGAAGTCCTAGTCAGAAGAGTGCACGAGCACGTCATGTTGTACAAGACAGAAGTGCAGATAATATCAGTGGCACTTATCCACAAGTTTTGGACATAAGTTTTACTCATTGCGTCAATAGTATGTCTACTATTCATCAGTGTAAATGTATGATACAATTTTTACCCAAGATGAATAATTTTATGATTATTTAAAACACAGTTCCGCACTGTCAATGGAAATATCAAATTCTTCTCTTTTTCAGGCTGAGTGTGCCAACTGTAAAAAGTTAAAATCCGAAGAAAATAGTAACAAAACCAGTATGTTGGTTTGAAATTCAAATACGATAGACTGAAAACGCAGGGATACAAGAAGGGACCAAAAGGTTAGATTTCTCTATGCATATTTCTATGACTAAAAATCTGTCCAAACTTTTCTCAACCCACATGCACACAAATGCAACTTTGACATACAAAAACAAATTCGTAATGTGTAGGCAGATATGACTGGAAACCTTTCTCTGTATTTTGTTCTTCAAAGCTACAAATGATAATCAACATACTAGTCTTCAGCCAGTATATGTGCAAGATTCTGGTGTTGAACAGCCAGATTTATGAAGACAGGAGAAGCAAAATGCAGTTGAAAAGCACATGGATATAGACAGACCTGATGATATTTACCCCTTTAGCCCTCAAGAGGAATACTCCACGGAACAGGAGACGCGTTTGTTAACAAAAATGTTGGTTTTCAAGAATGCATACCCCACAAACAATCGAGGTTGATTTAATAACATTTTTACAAGTACAATTTACTGGTGTCACTATTGTTTTTTTGACTCTAAAAATGGCTGCACTTGTTAATTACACCTGAAAAGGTTTATTGAACTGACCTCTGGTGCTGGTGTAAACATGTAGATGTAGAAACTAACACTTTTACACCACGTTCCTAGCTTAAAACTCATTCGTTTCGTCCATATTACAGATGACATGTGGTGTTCTTGGCTCAGCTGTTGATGCTGTTTCAGTTTTATCACATTTGTACAGCTGATGATCCAGAAGTAAATACTTGCCACGAGGGCACAATGACTGTTGTGACCACCACCTGTCACAACTTAAAAGTGTTTAAGAAAAGTTTTTACCTGGAGAAGTCAGCCGAACATGCCAGGAACTCAAATGCTGCTGGCAATTTTCTTTTATGTTTTGGTATCCTAAACCTGGTGGATCGGCTAGTAAAGTGCTCCACATTTTTCAGCACATGGGAATGGGATGTATATCTTTGTGTTCCTTCTTCTGATACCAGAGAGTAACGGCACAAAGTTACTTTTATTGTCTACTCATTCACATAACATTCACTTGCCCTGCAGTTAATAAATGCCAACTGTCAAAGACTAGAACCCAAATCAACTGAACAAATCTGTTTTAGTGACCAATGTTTTATGCTCCTGAGTACCATAATATTGTGTATTAATAGCCTTAATTTGTATTTCCACCTATTCTTTGCAGGAGAAATTATTCCCAATGATTTATCTTCACTGGAATCCAATGAAAATTTTGATATAGACGATAGCTTCCATCTTGAAGTTTTACAAGTCAGAGTCCCTCCTTCTGCTTCACGTCGACCATGCACTAAAGCTAGGAGGCAATCTTTGGCAGAAAACCATCCAGATAAGCGTTACATTGTTACGATATGAAATAACAATGGAGTTTGCGCAGGTCGCGCATTAGCAGTAGGAATTGTGTACCACGAAATAAAGGCCAATCCAGATAACGTTGAATTACAGTTGGATTATAGGAAAATTAAGAAAAGCGATCAACCTCTTCAGAAGAATCAAGCCTTGGGGTTGTATGATAACACAGGCTTGACCCCAGGGGCAGTAGACTTAAAAAACCTTGACAAATTTCAAGCTATACTAGATGATAACCAGATCAGAGTTGTATCCGTAAAACATCTCAATGCAATTAGTTACCACGGAAAATGTAACAGTCGTAATATCATTTTTCCTTACCTTGACAAGGAACGAAACTTGGTATGAAACTTAAGCTAATGATCCAGATTATGTCTATAATCTTCAAGACAACCGTAACAATCACTGTGCCTCTGAACTGCTCGACTACGTACCGTCCTAGAGCCACGACGGTGGCTCAGGGGAGAACCCTTTGTCTCGTCCCAGTCCCAAAAGCCTCCCGTCCAACCGTCGGTAGTCCGTAGTCGCCAGTCTTAAAGTCCCTAATATTGTGCACTGTATATTAAATATATGGATAAACAATCGGAATTTCTATTATTTCCTACAATTTACTGTGGGAAAACCAGAGTTATAACCACTTGATCATTTTCTAAACAACGTTCCCCCGAGTTTTTTCTATAGACTGACGTTAATTATTCTAGTACTTTCCAACATGTAAATAGGACATTCAATGTCATTTTCGATCCTTTTAAGTCTCACTGCCTAACTAATGCCAGTATCAAAAGAATGTGCCACAGCATTACTATCTTTTAGATACCCTAGTAATATAAGATATGTAGTTTTATCTTTTGATGAAATAAAGACTCATTATTGTTATTTTGGCTGCCTTTGTAAGTACAATGACTTACTGACAAGAGTCCGTTCCCCAATTTCTTCCGCCTTTTCTTTTTCTTTGCTCTTCATCCATCTTATTCTTGTCCTTTTGGTCCTGCAAATACTTCTCCAATTTGTGTCGAGATTGAGTTGCTGCAGCAAGGTGTTTCTTTGTAATTGGCAGATTGAAAACTCCACCCAGTGCCCTTAGATGATCACAAATGATGTGCTCAGCTACCAGAGGGGGCTCATGCAAGATTTCCACCTCAACTTCTTTGTTGACTGAGAACCCCCTCTCTACTGACGCCTGGCCATGTGAAAGCACCAACAAAATTTTCACTACATCTACTAATGCCGCATAGTTCTCACCGGTCAAAATGGTGGTAAAAAACTCATCAACTCTGAACATTTAGGTTGAAAGATGAAAACTCGCACACACTGATTGGAGCCTTCTCCATAAAGTTTGGTTAAAATTATTGATAGTGCTTGTGGTGTTCTCTTTTCTCTAGCTTGAGTGTTCATAGCTTCCCTCTCCCAGCAATTCAAGGGACAAAAAAGAAACTTTTGACGACTATTCCACCCTTTTGTTTTTGTTGTAGCCTATGAAAGTAGAATCAAGCGCAAAGGAAAGCACCGCCTCTAGTGCCACTAATCAGCACCAAAATGGACATGAGGAGGTTCAGGTGGATATGGAGGGTGAAAGGAAAGATGATGATGATGAGGAGATGGTTGTGTCAGAAGTGCTTGTTACTGGAAGTCCTAGTCAGAAGAGTGCACGAGCACGTCATGTTGTACAAGACAGAAGTGCAGATAATATCAGTGGCACTTATCCACAAGTTTTGGACATAAGTTTTACTCATTGCGTCAATAGTATGTCTACTATTCATCAGTGTAAATGTATGATACAATTTTTACCCAAGATGAATAATTTTATGATTATTTAAAACACAGTTCCGCACTGTCAATGGAAATATCAAATTCTTCTCTTTTTCAGGCTGAGTGTGCCAACTGTAAAAAGTTAAAATCCGAAGAAAATAGTAACAAAACCAGTATGTTGGTTTGAAATTCAAATACGATAGACTGAAAACGCAGGGATACAAGAAGGGACCAAAAGGTTAGATTTCTCTATGCATATTTCTATGACTAAAAATCTGTCCAAACTTTTCTCAACCCACATGCACACAAATGCAACTTTGACATACAAAAACAAATTCGTAATGTGTAGGCAGATATGACTGGAAACCTTTCTCTGTATTTTGTTCTTCAAAGCTACAAATGANACAACTTCACATATTTTGTGACAGCAGCAAACTAGCTAATGCAGCCGTAGCATACCTAAGAGGAATTTGCATCTGAGAAATACACAACACATTCCTAATCGCTAAAACCAGCATGTCACCCGTGAAAACGCAGACATTACCATAACTAGAACTATTAGCAGCGCTCTTAGGAGCAAAATTATTTGCATTTCTAAACAAAACACTACAAACAATAAACAGTGAAATCATATATTGGAGTGATTCTCAGGTAGTGCTATCTTGGTTATCATCCAACAAACAACTACAACAATTCGTTCATACTCGATTTCAGAAGATAAAAACACCTCACATCTGCACACACATGAAGATATTACCTCACATCAAAGAATACAGCTAACTTACTTACTCGAGGACTTAACACCAAAATGTTTGAAGACAAGAAGGAACTGTGGTTTCAAGGACCTCTGTGGCTTAGAGAATCAGAAGACAACTGGCCTTTACACACTAAAACGTTAATCCACAAAGAACTCTAGGAGACCCTACAAATGAAAATTACAGTAAATGTTGGAGATAATCCCAGCATCCTAAACATCATCGACCTGACGAGATACAGCACTCTAAACTGTGCGCTCAGTCACCACCCTTCTTATCCACTTCACAAGAATATGGATGGATAGACGAAGTATACAATGAAACATTCACAACAAAGGACATTCTACTAGCCAGAAATCTGTTACTGAAGACTACACAACAGAAAACCTACAGAGAAGACATACCTCAAGAACAAAGAACAATCCACAAAAACTGCACTCATACGACAACTAGGTTCTTCATATTGATGAAGAAGACCTTGTACTTTGCTGTGCAAGGTTACAGTATACAAATCTACCTCACGATGCAAAGTTTCTGATCCTCATCCCAAAACATAACTACTTAACTGCACTCATTGTCCAATCTATGCATAAAGAGGTCATGCAAGTGGAGTATGGGACATGTTGACTCATATCAGACAGACATATTGGATACCTCAAGAGTACATGTATCACAGGTCTTTCAGTTTACAGGAATTGATTACACAGGTCCTCTATACGTCCGCAACCAAGATACTCAAACTTCATCTAAGATGTATATATGTCTCCTCACATGTGCTGCAATACGAGCCTTACACCTTGAGTTAGTAAAAGATCAAACTACTCAGGCCTTCCTTAGAGCTTTGAGATGATTTATAAGTCGTTGAGGAATTCCAGAATACATAATATGAGACAATGCAAAAACCTTTGTGGCTCAAGAACTTCAAACATTGACAACTCAAGTCCTTGAAACTAATGCATCACAACAATTTCTCGCCAACCATTGCATTACATGGAAATTCATAACTGAAAGAGCTCCTTGGTGGAGAGGATTCTAGGACAGACTAATAGGGCTGGTAAAAAGACGCTTGACGAAGACAATAGGCAAAGCCTGTCTGAACATGATAGAGCTAAACGCAATACTCACTAACGTAGAAGCAGTTTTAAACAGCCCTTCCCTGACATATCCTTTCATCGATTTTAAAAGATGATTATCCTCTGACCCCGTCGCATTTCTTATGTGGACACCATCTCTTAACATTACCTAATTCAAAAGTTAGAGAAAGGAAAATGATCCAGATTATGTCCCATCTGAAATTTCATCAAAAGAATTAACATGACGAGCTAAGTATCACGAGACAGTAATACAAGCTTTGTGGACACGATGGCAAACTGAATATATAATACAAATCTGTCTGAATTTGTTAAAACGTGGTTAAAGAAATTTCAAGTGCATTTTAACTATTTGACATCTTAGTCGAATGGGAAGCAGTTAAAAGTCACTAGCTGAAGCTAAAAAATGACAGCATGATTGCTGGCAATAGACGGTAAAGTTCTCTCGCAGAAGTAACAGGATTTTGCGATGAAATAACATTTGAAATGTCCAGAAATTGTAATCTTTTAGTCAGTCAAACCGTGAGGCCCACAGCTCAGTGTCGGCCGAAAACAGATTAAGAATGCACAATCCTTGAGATCATAATAGGCTTTCTAAGAGAAAATCACCTAAACTAAACACTCATGAAGCCTTTTGACGCTTGGCACAAAGTATTCTGCTGGCGGGGCTAAAGTGCAGGTCACAGGTCGCAGGTCAGGTCACAGGTTACAGGACATATAACGAGTAATCTGTAGTTACATTTGTTAGGGCAACCCTGGGACGAGTTTTGGTTACCTAGCAAATGCTATTTTCAGATTAATTATTGTCCAATTGTTTCAATTGTTGGTAGCTTCTCATTTTGATTGGATTTGGTACGCCTATATACAATGATTGCATTATAATACATTTGTCTGAAAACGCATGCACACCCCGCCCCAGAAGGGTCACGGTGATTTGATCACGTGATCACTTCTCGAGCACATACTTAAGATGGCGAACTACAAGGTGAGTGTTGTGTTTTCCTTTTGATATTATACCATAACCCACAGAATGCTGATGAATGAAATGATACTTTATGCGTTTTATTTGCGATGTAATCAGTGCACGTGCACTAGTCTTATAATGAAGGATGGTGTTAGCTAGCTTATCTTTTCACGGTAAGTCCCAACCCTCTTTATCGATGAAATGTTGAAGCTACCACCAAATGACATTGAAAGCACCTCTTTAGACGCGACAGAAAACAAAAAAAAATTAATTGAATAGTCTTTTCCAGAGCTGACTTTTCAAATTTGCATCACAATGTGACATTTGCAGAAGAAAAACAACACAGATGAAATTGCCGATTGCACCAATTTTACAAAGTTACTTTGAATCGTTTGCACGTTTGCACATTTTTCTCTTTTTAACCAAGACAGACGAAAAGTTATGGTCATTATTTTTACAGGAGTTTAAATGGAACAGCTACAGCGAAAGTGAGGAGGAGTCGGTGCATTCAAGGTACAGTCTTTCCTATTATTTTTGCGATTCCAAATTGTCGCACTCAGTGAATATTTTATTGATAAAGCTCTGTCACGGAATTTGAAAGTGTGCATTATTCATCCGCAGGGGGAGGGGGAAGGGGATCAGGTGGGTGTTTTGTGGGGCTGGAAAATAGAGAAGTATTGTTTAATGGAACTTAACGTGGATTCCATTCTACACTTGGTTTACCCCAGTCTGCAAGTACCTGGCCAAGTAATGCAACAGTGAGACTGCTCCCAGCAATCCCCCCTTCCCCCTCCCGGGGCTGCGACACTTGAGCTGCCAAATGCCCGGCGCTGGGGACGAAAAAAGAGGGCAAATGCCCCATCCTCAATCCACTCTGTAGCAGTTTTCATTTATCAAACATTCAAAAAGTGCCACTTCAAGCATTTTGAATGTGAAATGTTTTGTTTCAGTTAACGCCAGGCTTTGCTTTATAAAGCCGTGACGAAACCATTCATGATTCTTATTTAATCATTGGCATTTATCTCATTCTTAATAGTTCGTAGGCAAAAGTGCAATCAGTAAAAGTGAAATCAATGCTAGTGTATAAGCCTTTCTGTTCTGAATAGTTTAATAATATGAAGGGAAGTTCTTCAAATAATAGATTGATTATACATCATCATAGAAGTATAATAATGATTACTCCAAAATTTTATTTAAATCCTAGATCAACACAAATTTGAGTCAATAAAATAAACGTCGATTCATGTATGTCAACAGTGCAGCTCCCAATTTCGCAGTGTAAGTTATATCTTGATAAGCAATGAAAAAATACATGCTGAAATTGAGAAAACATGCCTCTAAAAACCTCTACAAGCTTTTCGGGTCCTTGATAGATGAACCAGTCTGCTTGTGTTTCCAGTAAATTCCTCCATATTTAGTTTCATGGGGATATAGGAAACCACATGCACGTCAAAAGCTTGGGGGTGGACTAAGAAGGGAGCAAAATGTGTGACAAACAATTCAAGTTGGTATGCAAAAAAACCTTCTTTTTTATCAAACCTCGTTTCCTCTGCAACTGTGTTGCTCAACATTGTTTTTAAGATCTTTTTATTTCAATACCTCCACATATACAGTTATTATTATTTTTAAGTAAACAGAGAAAATGTAAAGAAAAGGAAAGTTAATGATGTTTTTTTACGTTCTACGACCGCTATTATGACCAAAATGACCATCCAACCTTTGGGCCCTGTAAATAGGCAAGCTTCTCTCAGAGGCAACCATATCGAATATTTCTCTGAAAAAATAGAAAACATTGACTCTGTCGACTCGGCCTCATTATTAATGACCTTTGTTTGAGTGAGTTTGCAGTGATTGAATGGAACTCAGCAACAGGGTGTCTACTTTTTTTTGAAGCCAGGTTGTGTTCATAGAAACGCTCAATACATTTGACTTGGAGAGATTTTATCTCATTTGGCCAAAACCTCATAACTAGGGTGTGAAGTGTGCCATTGCCTGCACATTTGTCAGTCATCAGGGCTTAATTATCAGCATTTATTTACTTTTCTGTCTTTTTTTAGTGAAGAAGTATTGTTTTATGGACCTGAATGTCCTTATATGTATAAGGGCAAACAAGATCTTAGTTTTGAAGAAAGGTTTGATGTGCTAGTTACAAACGTTGATTCAAGAGGAATATGTACAAAGCAGCCACTACGTGTACAGGAAAACGCGGCTTTTGTTATCCAGAGGTCTGCGCTAAAAGGCAAAGGTGACTGGTTAGTAACAGATCTCGGTTCCTTCTCTAATTTGGGACACAGTGGAAAAGTCTTGCAAGTGGAAGATGGGGATATCTTAGCCAGTACACGGTGGCCTAGACGTGTAGAAGATAGATTTGAATTGAATAAAGATGAATACCTTGTCCTCAGCACCTATTGGAAGCATGCGAAATACAGTGATTACTCAAGAATAACAACAGTCGTGTCAAAGAAAGTTGGCCAGGAACTTGATCTTGCCTTGGTACAGTACTGGTATGACGGTGAAGAACATTATATAAGTCCAAAGAAACATCCAAGAACAAAGCCGTTTATCCCAACCGCTTCAAGTGCAAGGCACTCGATTGAAGATAAAGTTAAGCATCCCATGGGGCCTTCAACCATATTTGACAAAGTATTTGAAGAGGCTGGTGGTATGCTTGATGTGGAAGCAATTTCACACGCACCACGAAACATTTACAAGTGAAGAACGCAAGAGCCAAGCTAAAAAGAGCTAGCACTGATGAAGACGAGTTTTACTCCGTACTTGCACTGGGAAAAGAGATGGGTGGGTCGTGTATCAAAGGACTTCAGTGGACACCATCACCAAGAGTTGTTTACGTAGAGGACTGGCAGATGGCTGAAATTGTCGAAAATTGTTGTCAGCCAGATTCGACCTGTGTTTTGTCAATAGACACTACATTTAATGTTGGACAATTTTATGTCACCTCCACAATGTACCAAAATGCTAAGTTTGTTAACCAACGAATGGGAAAACTCGCGAATTTGCCGGGTCCCGCTCTCTTCCATGTCTGTCAAGACGAAACCCAATTTCTCTTCTTCTGCAACAACTTGCTGGAAACGAACTATGGATTTGAGAAAGTTCGTTTTGTCGGTGGAGACTGTGACAAGGGACAAAAGAGGTTTCTGAAACCGCTTGAAGGAGTGACTTACCTCCCACGCAAGAAACACACTGAGGACAATATGAAGGCAAAAATGCCGAGCTATCAGTTGGATGCATCCGAAAAAAAAATTATTCTTGAAGATGTTTTTGGCAGTAAAATCCCACCAAAGAGAGGCTTAGTAGATTGTAATACAACTGACGAATTCGAAACCATGATGGCAGAAGTAACAGGAAAGTGAGACGAACAGTTCACTTTGTACTTCAATCAGTGTATCGCAGATGACATCCAGAATGGCATGGCAGCTGGAATAGGACGAGAGATAGGACTAAAGGGCGACTTTTTTTACAACAACGCCGCAGAATGTCACAATTTCCGGTACAAGCTGAAGGTTAAAGAGGATAAAGCAGCAAGTGCAATTGCAGGATTTCCTAAGAAGTTATGCTCTTGGGTGGAGGCCATAGAAAGTTATAGGATGGTATTTGAATGCAGAAACAATATCCAGAGATCTTTTATTGGCGAAGGACCATTCACTTTGGCTCCTGACTACAGGAACCTAGAGGTTCCTACAGCATAATGGATGTCTAAAACGCCAGAAGAAAGGCGAAAACACATGGCCAAAATCGACCACTATGCAAAGCAAAATGCTGCTGCTATCAGTCCAGCAAGCCTTGCTTGTAGCAGTAAAAGTAATGATGAAAGTGAAGACTCTAAGGATGATGACGTTGTTATTGTCGAGGACATGTCAACGCCCTCTGCTTCCGCGAATACTGATTATTGTCTCAGCAGCTTTGATGTCTCCGGATTACCTAATCATTTGCGTGGTTCCTGGAATAATGCCAAAAAATTCTGGAGCTCCATGGGATCGGAGAGTTTCCTAGTAAGGATTCTAAAAGGGCTGTGATTTCTTTAACACGTGGAATATGCCATGCTGTTTCCTGCAGTGGACTCTCTAAGAAACCACTTTCCTGTGATGAACAGTGCCCCAAGTTTAAATCGCAGGGTATCTGTGCACACACCATAGCTGTTGCGTGTCACAATGGATGCCTGGAATCCTATTTGTGCTCCTACACACCTTGCCTTTCCACACTAGTGGGAAGCTCAATTCCTTATCATACTGGGAGAAAGGAGAACGAAAAGAAGCAGAGGAAAAGGAGCAATAACGACTTAAGAGATGTCTCTGGTGTCAGTTTCCCAGCAGATGACTGCAGTCTGAACAAAACACGGATAAGCTGGAGGTAGTTTTCATCCGTGACACCGCAGCTTGTAAGTGTTATGGCTGCAATGGATCAGTTCGTAGAAAGCCATCAGAGGATCCACCAGCTGCTTACGATATATTCCTACGGAGGAGGGAATATAGAGTGTACAGAAAGAAAGCATCAACAAAAATGTGCATTGCCAAAAGGAAAGAATTTGTTTATTACGACCCACTTAAGGCTTGTTTGCCTAAGGAGATTAGCCATGATCACCTTCTGATGTCAGGGAACACTACAGGACGACTTCAAGCTGGCCATCGAGAGGTATTTTGGAGGGAGTTTGGATTCACTTTGTGAACTGTGTGGAAGTCGCATACCTGAACATGTGGACCCATTGTTTTATGAAGAATTATTCAATCGCTATGAATAATTTGGTTTTGTTTCGTTCGGATTAAACCCTCTTTACATGAAGAATTATTCAATTGTTTTGAAATGAATAGTTCGATTGTATGTTGCATTGTCGTTTGGTAGGGAAGGACACTGTTCATTGAAGAATTATACATTCTCTTATTTGATAAAACTGTAGCTGGTTTTCATAGAGATATAGGTACAAGTGCGCAAGTTGTTTTCGGACAAATCCGAAAAAAACTGTAAACTGTACAATGTTGTGGTTCTGTTGACTTGAGATTTGACTTTACATTCGACAGGCATGCAACATTGGTTGGAATAAGTTCAAGTAATATATCAAACATGAGACGCAGTGTTTCATCACCAGATGAAACAGCGAGAAGAGAGTTGAAAATACGACGCGTAGCGGAGTATTTTTGACGAACTTCGAGGTGTTTCATCTGGTGATGAAACACTGTGTCGAATGTTTGATATTTCTTCTCAAACAAAATCATTTTTGAAGGAGAAATTAAGGATGCAAAAATGAGCAGTTTTTCATCCAATATCCAAACACTCATTAAACATTAATTTCCTTTGAATTTTCTATATGAATTATTAATGAGTTTGAGAAGCATATATTAAACCTTCCAGAGTCGGCACTAAGTTGGCTTTCACCAAAGGCCTGCACATCTAAATAAGTCAAAATGACACCGCAGGCACATTAAGAACATTTATCCATGGGCAATTATCCACACCCCTTGCTAACAAAGTACTTTACCATTTCCCTTAACATGCAGAAAAAAATAAAATCTTGTCAATGGATAGAGGGGTACATTTCAGTAGAATAACCTCATTCGTCCTTTTTTTGATGAATTCTGCGTGCCAATCAACTTTTCGTTTGAAGAAGGAATCAACCATGTACGTGAAAATGTCTAGGCCAAATATTTGGGTTCGTGAGAACGGCAGCTTAAACATTTGCCGCTTGCAAATATTTCATAACTTAACCGCGGCAGTCACTAGGACGATGAAATTGTTTAAACGACTGAATATTGTACAACTTTGAGATTTGATCATGATGCAGTTTTTCTCTATGTAAGCACAACTTTGTGCCAACTATCATTTTACTAACCATCAGCTTTAGGGGATTTGATATGGTAATGAAAAGAATAATATACTAACAGCAGCAAAGAAAACGAGCAACTTACCTTGTAGTAAGTCATCTTGGCCACCACTTGCTGCAACAGTGACTATGTGACCACACTGACAAGTTATCCCTTGGGGGGCATGGTGTTTACTTCTTGTCCACATACTTAGTAGGCTGAACAAAACTGTTCTGCACTGACGTTTTACTATACAAAAATGAAAGAAGCCAAGGAACCTTGATGATATTTTGTCCTTTAAACAATATTAAATTCCACACATGGAAAAATATTTTCATCTTGATCATACAGCATATGCAAACTTGGTAACGAAATCACAAAGGTGTGCAAAGTCACTTGATTTCTACGAAAAACAAATCACGTTTTTCACTGAAAACGAAGTGATGTGTTATTAGAATGTCATCTCCAAATAAACCGTGCAGACAAGATAACTTGGAGCGAGTCATTTATATGCAGCACTGTAATCCTTTAATACATCAGCAGTTTACAGAGTCAAACATTCAAGTTCTAATGGAGGAATGCTACCATCTAGGAGCCACGAGGCAAATCCAACAGAGTTGTTTCAAGCTGTTGTGCTACAGAATATAGCACAACACGAAGGGTTGTTACGTTACGAATATCGTGACATGTTTGTGGATGTTTCGAAAAGTATTTGACGGGAAAACTGAAGGAAAAATTAAGGTCAGTCTAAAACTTATTTGACCACTGAAATATGGCAACTTTCTTCACACTTTCTTCGTCTTAAACTGTTCTTGCGACTAGATCGGTCTTCCATCTCTTTTCAAAATGGGGCCTGTCACTCTCACTTCGTACCACCCACGAAATGCTGCTGTGTTAAAGTGCCCATAACCTAAAAAATTTTCTTTTCTTATCTGAAAGTACACATTGAAAGAGGAACTTCTGCGAAAAAATTTTGCGATTTGAACAAAACATGATTTTTTAATGATTTTTTAAAGTCTTCGAAATTTGCCGCCATTTTGGTCCACCATTCGTATTAGTCTCCTCTTGGCCGGATAGTATCCGTGACGTATGATGACGTAGCTTCAGGAACTTGTATCAGTTCGGCCTGTTACATCTCTTCTTCCCAAGCCGAGATTTATAATGCCTGAGAGATGCGTTGCAACGCATTGTGGCAACGTAAAGGACCCAGATAGGAATATATCCATGCATAAAATTCCATTCTTCGGCGACGTGTGTCCGATTAAAAAGAAAAGGCGAAAGAAGTGGGTCGACTTCGTATTGGAGAGGAGGAAGATGTGGGTGCCGGGGAAGACCTCCTCGTTGTGTTCCGAACACTTTGCTCCAGACGACTTTCAAAGGCCGTTAAACAAAGAAGTCAACTTAAAGCGAGATTTAAAGAAAGATGAAATTGGGGTTT